GCTCTGCAGCAGACGACGGAGAGGCCTGTGGCTCTGCAGCAGACGACGGAGAGGCCTGGAGCTCTGCAGCAGACGACGGAGAGACCTGTGGCTCTGCAGCAGACGGCGTGGGAGCCTGGAGAGCTGTAGCGGAGGCAGGAACCGACTCCTCTGTGGTGGCGGCAGGAACTGATCTTCTGCGGCGGCGGCGGCGACGGGAAACAGAAAAAGATGCTGAGTCCTCTGAGGCGACAGGAGCAGGTGCACCAACGGCGAGGCACTCAGCAGGCGGAACAGCGGCGAAGGTGATGGGTGCAGGAGTCAGAGGAGCAGAGGAGAGTTCAGAGTGTGTATAAGTGACCTTGGGTGTGATGAGAGTCCTAATTTCTATTAATAATCGATTGTACTCAGGGATCAGAATGAGGCCTGGCCGTGAAACTAAAAATTCCTCCATCAGGGAAAATACAACATCTGAACAGTCCGGGTTATTTTTAGCAGTGAGAAATGAGTCTAGTAAAGTCTGGTTTATTAGTGCAAGTTCATGGGATGAATATGTTACTGACGGGCAAGTGTCTTTATCTGAGGGTGTGGTGTCAGGTGTCAGCCTCACCGGAAACCTGGGAAGTGGGACGGCGGAACACGCCCCCACAGAGTCACTGAGAGTTTGCTCAGGAGGTTCGGTCAGACCGGGTTGGACAGCCGCGGCACTGTGTGACGGTGAGAGGCCGGACTCCGCCCCCACCAGGAACCTGGAAGGTGAGGCCACGGAATCCGCCCCTGTGACGTCAAGTGGACCGGACTCGCCGAACCGAACAGGAGTTGACCGGAGCTTCCGCGGGACGCTGGATCTCGCCTCCACCGGAAACCTGTGAGGTGAGGCGGTGGGACCAGCTCCCACAAAAACACCGGAACCAACTCTATGATTCTGCTCAGCCGACGAGACCGGGCCGGTCGCCGCGGACTGCCCCCGGGACAGCTTTCTACCTCCCCGGCGACGGCGGGAGAGTCGGGGGACAGGAACAAAACGGAATTCGTCCTCGATTTCTTCGTCCTCCTCCGACGTCCACCCCGAATAGCCGGGCGAGGCGGACTCAGAAATAGGAGCCTGGTGGGTTCTCCGGTGCCGAGCTCTGTTCTCCTCGAAGACCAGTAGTGGAGAGGACAGGATTTCCACCTCCTGGTCAAAATGTCCTTGAGGACGGACGGGCCTGGTGCAGAACCCGCCGCACCGGATAGTACGCTCGCTCATTACAGGAAGGCTCGGAGGAGAAAAAGAAAAAAGGTGAGTTGCCGAGAGAATCCTGCCCGCTGGGTTCAGATATGTGGTCGGGTCGTAATGTCAGGATTTGGTAGTCAGGGACGAACACAGTTGTGCAGACAGGACTCAACTCGGCAGATTACAAAAATAAGTATTTTAATAGTGAAATAAGGAACAAAATAAACAGCTGACGTGGCAGCAAAACTTACATGAAAATGGAAGGCTCAGAGGGAAACTCAGGGAGGACTCAGGAGAGCTCAGGGGAGACGCAGGAGAACACAGAGACCCAACGAATACGACCCGACGAGGAACAACACAGAACAGGAGGCTTATATACAAGGACAAGACATGACGTGATTACAACAGCTGTGACGAGACAAAGGTGGCACCAATTAAACTGACGAGGAAACACTAGGGAAACACAGACACAAACAGAACCACCAAATGGTACCATCCTTACAGAAGAAAATGGATGGATAGATGGATGGATGGATGGATGGATAGTTTATTTGCTGCATAATTTTGCAATCAAAATACACATTCTTTAAGAAAAAAAAATCCTAACTTTTGAAAAGCTGAAGCAATTTTAAATGTACTAAAACATTAATTGTAAATGGAAAAAAGTACATTTTATACATACATTTTGATTTTTGTTCTGATTTGAAACCTAATTATCCACATACTGATTCATGAGGTGGCTTGTAGAAAGTCTCTAAAAATGTTTTATCCTTGCTTTTCTGATCTGATACAGGCTATCAACTTCCATGATATTTTCCCATTAGGGCCTCTTTGGACTGGACCTGTGTTAGTTAATGAGTGTTCTCTGGGCCTGGTGTCCTGCAGGGGAAGCAGCTGCCATCAGGAAGTCATGGTGTTCTGAAACAATGTTTGCGTAGGTGGTATGTGTCAAAATGACATCCACATGAATGTCAGAAAACACAGGATCTATTGTAATTACCCAGTAATCTACTCACCTGTCAGTGCTTTTTGTTACCGTAGCTGCTCAGTTTAGGTTACTGGGATCTATAGTTTGTGATAAACAACTAACCATTGTCAAAGTGCCCATTTCAATTAAACAAAATGTCCAGTTTTTCTGTTACGCAAACCTTGGGACACATTTAGGAAGGCCTCACTGTTGCTCACAGCCAGACAAGCTGTCCACACAGTTAGGTGGAATATCCAGAAGCCCAAATCAAACATCTTAATCTTTTTCTCTCCCTTCTTGTCTTGTTCCCATCAGGAGAGCTGTCTCCCAGCAGCAGCAGTCATGTGAGAGGAGTTGTCAGCAGGCAGAGGATGCCCACATCCAGCTAAAACCGAACCATCCCTCCCCCTCCCCTTCTACACCTTCCCTCACCCCTGCAGCTCCCTCCCTCCTTCCCACATGAGGACAAGAAGATGACTATCACCAGCCGGCAGTCCTTTAATGTCCTGACGGTCATCTTTCTCCTGCTGTCCACTGCAGGTATGAGACAGTTAGAGTGTGCCCATCAACGAGTCCTCCTGGCTGGCCCTGAAAAGTTCACACTTGTCTCATTAGAGGCGTCAGCTGCTATTCACATGAGGGTTTGAAGGGGCCCCTCCTTCAAAATGGATCTCTGCTCCTTTTCAAAATGAGCCATTAGGAGCATAATACAGGCAAAAACAAAACACTTTTTATGGATTGATATTGCCTACTAAATTAAACTACTGCGAGTGGTAACAATAAGAAACAAATATTCACATCTAAAACCTTTTCTCCAAGAGAAACTCTGAATAAGTCTGCAAAACGAGGCCACACGGCTTAAAATGGGGGAGGGGGGGGGGGGGGAAGGAGTGCAGGCAGTACAAGCCAACATGACAACTAATTCTGAGGTAAAAAAAATTACACGTTTCAAACAAAAGCTACAACATCACAGTTTGGAAAGTAGGGCAGGAGAAGGGCACAGTGTTAGAGCTAAAAATTAGGACAAGTAATGAAAATGATTGCCTTTAATGCTAAAATTGTGTTAATGAGTATTTAGTATCCATTTTTAGATAAGTGCAAATGAAACAACGATCTTGTTTGAAATAAAAGCTGAAAAACATTGTATGACCGAAATCTGGACAGTAACACAGTGTGTTAATTATATTTGATAGTAAAAAAAACAAGTCATGTATGTCTGTCTACAGTTTTTTTAACTTGATTTGAGTACAAGGTGTACTGTACAAGTTAGTTTTATCTAATTCCTCCAAAAAAGAAGTGAAGAATCAATCAAAAATAATTTTAAAGTTTACAGAAATTTATTATTTATTGATACAATCCAACATAACATTTTTTTTTTTTAGAATATTAAAAAATATATGTTATTACAGCCCATGGCTGAAAGGCACGATGGTAGCTTAAAGCCATACCCAACATATTTTCTGAGCTGTAACAGGTTGTGTGAGATTTTTGTTTAAATCTTTGGCAGCAACTGTTCCAGTCAATCCTGTCTGTCTGTCAGCAAAATATTTTATGAACCACTGATTGAATTGTAATGAGATTCTCAAAAAGTAATCATTAGATGTACATCTAAAAGTCAATAACTTTTGAAGTCACCCTGATTCAAAATGGCTGTCATCACTGATCTACTTTACAAAATGCTAAAATTGATGTCACTTCGGTAATTTTGCACATATTGAGCTTACATTTAGCAGGGTAGTAGCTGAGAGTCATCATTTTAAGACAAACTTCAGCTTGTTCATTTTAATTTTCCCTGTTTTGTATAAACTTGCAAGTCTTAACCTGTTCCTCAGATAAATAATGTTATTAACTTACTTCTTATGTACGTGAATGTTTCTGTTCAGTGCACTGAGATGACTTCTGTTCTGACTTGGCGCTATAGAAATAAATTGAATTGAACTACAAGGTAAATAAATGAGTAAAATTGCTAAATGCCATTTTTACATGTTTAAAAATTGTATTACATTTGTGGAATGCAAAAAACATTTCTTGGAAAGGTCCAAGAAAAAAAAGAAAAGTTTTTCTGTAGAGGAATGCTGAGTGAAACAGATCACTTATGTTTCATGCCTCACAACTGAAGCAACAAACTGCAGATGTGACAGCAGCACCTAATAAATAAGGTTATGTGAGTTCTTGACAATATCCAGATGTTTGCTCCACTTAGAAAAAACTAAAATGGTTTTCAGATGGGCGGCTGTGGCTGAGTGATTAGAGCAGTCGTCCTCCAACGGAAGAGTTGGGGGTTCGAACCCACCAGCAGTCACATGCCGAAGTGTCCCTGGGCAAGACACTGAACCCCTCGTTGCCTCTGATGTGTGTCCCATCAGTGAATGAATGTGATAGAGCTCTGATTAGTCTCTTTAGAATGGTTTGTTCAATTAGCTTGTAGAGATCTATTAAATGGACTGTACTTATTTAGCGCCTTTCTATCTTATTTCAAGATACTCAAAGTGCTTTACACTACAATCTGTGCCTCATTTACCCATTCATACAGCATTCTACTAGATCTCTACAAAGCTAATCTAGTAGAGTGCTGTGTGTATGGGTAAATCAAGACACAGATTGTAGTGTAAAGCGCTTTGAGTATCTCAATAAGATAGAAAGGCACTATATAAGTACAGTTCATTTACCATGGGTTGTAAAAAAAAAAAAAAAACTGGTATTCAGCAGCAAAACTGGTAATTGTATCCTAAATGTTTAAATAGGTGTTAATGACATGAAACAGGTGGGAGTGTTTTCAGTTAATTCAGAAGCAGCTTCAGTCCATCCATTATCTTCCACTTATGCCAAAGTCGGGTCGTGGGGGCAGCAGCTTGAGCAGGGAGGTCCAGACATCTCCTTCCACAGCCACCTCTTCCAGCTCTTCTGGGAGGACTCCAAGGTGTTCCCAGTCCAACTGAGAGACATAGTCTCTCCAGTGTGTCTTAGGTCTTCCCCGGCGTCTCCTCCCAGTTGGACATGCCCGAAGCACCTCCCTAGGGAGGCGCCCAGGGAGCATCCTTACCAGATGCCCCAACCACCTCAATTGGCTCCTCTCGATGTGGAGTTGACAGGCCAGACAAGGAGCGATTCAGAAGACTTATATGGACAGGAAATAACAAGGAGCTCAGTGTTCCTTGCCCGGACGTGGGTTACCGAGGCCTAGGGGTTGAACCAGTATATAATTTTTAAACTCGACATTAACATAATAAAACCCGAGTAGAACTCGAGTATTTGATGACGTCATAGATCTCAAGATACAAAAATAAATAAATAAATAAAACCGCAAAAAAAAAGTTAATTATTTACAAAAATAAGACCAACAAAACATTGGGAGCATATATTATGCTCCTACCATTTTATCATACTGCAAATAAGTCACAGGAAAAACTAAACTATTAGTTATTATTATTAAACTGCAAACGTGAAGAAACGTGAAGCACGTCAAAAACGAAACTTAAACCGAAACTTGTTCTGGTTCGGTGGATTGGACCCGGTGTTACACCATACTCTGTGACCTGCAACAGTGCAACACCGCCCCCTACGGTCATACGGTGGTTACATAATATGACGTCACTACGGATACTCAATGTTAAATTTTTAACCTCTATAGAAGTCCTAGCAATCGATGTGTAGATTACTAGAGTACTCTGTTAATGCCCTACCGAGGCCCCACCATGGAGCCAGTCCTGGGGGAAGGGTCATTGGCGAGCACAAAGGAGCAGCATGGGTTTGCCTTCCTGTGGACCCACCACCTGCAGGAAGGGCCATAAAAGTCGGGTGCATGATGCCATGGGCAGTGGCCGAAGGACCTTGGCGCTCTGACCCTGGCAAACCAAAGCTGTCTCAAAAGCATCTTGATATGATAAATTTATGGTGCCTTTCAGAAGCTGATACCTCCTCGCTTGTCAGTTCATTCAGTCAAAAAGTCCAGCGTAACTTTAATAGAAGTTGTCTTTAAGATGTCTTCAACAGATTGGCTTCATTTGAACAAGTTTAGTATTTAAACTGTGTATAATTAAGTCAAAATAGCTGACCACGCTTTCCTCATTATTGCCAGTGCTTTGCCTTTAAATTACAATTAGTCTGTTTGAGATTACTGAAAGATGTTTGAGAAAGTCATCTTTACAGTAAACCACACTTTTAATAACAACAAAGTAGTATTTTTAGGCCTAATCAAGTTTCAAAACTTACAGCTATACTGACACAACAGCACTTCATACGTTTATACTTTAACTGACATTAAGGAAGCACAAAAAACAAAATTCTCCAAAAGCACTATTACTTAAAAGAAAGCATATTGCACCAAACTCATGTAAACGGTTGAAACTATTGTAGTGAATGTGGGGGTCAGCTTCACTACTAATTAATTATTCTTAAAGCTAGTTCAAGCACAAAGAATATTAATTATTTAAATACAACGGATTCTTTCTTTTTCGAGTTAAATTAATGCCATGTGACGAGATAACTGTGAGGATTGTTTAATCAGTGACATGAGACGCCATTTTTTTGACCCATCAGAATAAATGCGGTCATTTATTTAACAGAATCAAAATTTAACATCAAAACATGTAGACATTGATTTGCTGATCTGGTTCTGATTAATAAAAACTTGGCACGCTTTACTAACAAGACAACAGAACATTTCTGAAGGCATCTAGATTACTGGCAAAATAGAAAATTTTAAAGGAAGGAATGGAGAAGTTTAAAAGTAGATGGATGGAGGAAGATGTATGTTGTTGACCAGAATTAGCACGCTTCTTCCAACACCAGCTCAAACCCCCGGTACACTCGGTGCGTGACGACTCGTTACCTTTGCAAAAGATGAATCAGCTCCGGTACAGGGTCCATTTCAACGCTACCTTTCCAGAGTCTCCGGTTAAAGCGGCTGGTCATTGTCAGAAGTCGTGACGATTTACTCCATACAACAGAATAATGCCCTTTTTCCACTGTCACAGCGCGGGTCGGATATTTCCGGCTTGACGCGCGTTTGAGGTCTTTCCACTGTTCCTGTGACCGGCTCGCCTCGCTAAATTCTGGCCCGGCTTCTCAAGGGTTCCGAGCGAGCCGCGCCATGACGTCAGAAACACTGTCGGTCACTGATTGGTCGGGGGGAGGAGTCTGTGGAGTCTTTCCAAACAACCCGATCCACCATTTTTTCTCTACCGCTTTCCATTAGCGATAACACGAGGAGCGTATCTTTTAGTATTTTGAAGCTAAATAAAAACAATAATATCAAAGCTGTGGTCAAATGCAGAAGTGCAGGTGTTGTTGTGCTTGGTGGCCGACAAAAAAAGTCAAAGCGAGCTAGATGGAGGATTGGAGGGTGGTTTGGACACGACTACTGCTCTACTTGAACCATTTATAGAAGATGGTGAGTGTTTTCTAACTTTAAACATATTAAATTACTCATCCCATTGGTTCTGAACATATTTTTAACTAACAAAAGAGGCTGACGCCATAATAGGACAACGTCGGTGCTACGATGCTAAGCTAATTTGCATAAACGCTAACTGTCCTCC